TATACATATACATATACATATATATATCAATGTCCTGTTGTCACACACTGACACACCAAACCTCATTTAAAAAAAGTCAGTTTTAACACCACTTCCGCAATTATCARGTTTAAACATTCACTACACATCGATGAGAGTTAATAAACCGCGTATTTCAATATCACACACCATTTCGGCACAGCTTTTAAATGAAAGATGATTTAAAGCAGCAAGTTTATTAAACTTAAGGGATTTTTCTTTGTCTCTTTAGTAGTTCTGCACATTTAACAGAAGCTGTCCCCTAAAATGAATTAGATTTTGACTTTCTCTTCCTGTTTCTGCAGGTCATCAAAGAAGTCAACTTGCATCATACATGACAAAGCATATTGGAGGAGGAGCTTAACAATAACTCAAAGCCTATGGATTCCATTGGCTCGGAAGAAGGTTTGTAAAAACATAAATGTTTTCATTTCTCATATTAGAAACAAAATGGAAATTACTTTAAATGACAATGGAAAATGCAGAAAAAAATACTGTTGCGGTTCTTATAGGTGGCACAGTGGCACCTGCAACATAAAATACAAATAATGCCAATTCAAAAAACAGTTTAAGATTCTAATATTAGTAATAATTTTTACACCGTGTCTCTGAAATAATACTGCCTCTCTCCTTGCAGGACAAGAAGAACAATCTGAGCAATCTCTGTATTCATCAGTCAGCTCTAAAGGTCGACAACGCAAGAAAAATCCCAAGTATTTAGATTATGAAACAGCTGATAAAGATATTAGTGAAAGTATAAAACAGGAACTGATTAAAAATGGGTCTGAAAAGAAAAGAGCTGCCTCTCAAAAGGGTTCAAAAAGAGGTAGAAAACCCAAGGCTGCTGTGCAGCAGGCTGTGGACGGGGATAATGAAACAAAAGAACAAACACCTTCAGATTCAGTCGGTGAAAATGTAGCAGCAACGCCTAAAAAACCAGGAAGAAAGAAAAAAATACAGCCTGAAGCACCTGTCGCCACTGATGGGGGCCTTCCAGCTGAAGGAGATGGAGGTGGAGCAGCTGAAAGATCTGTCAATCAGGAAAACGGGACACCAAAGCCAAAGAGAAAGTATGTGAAGAAGAAGGCTGCGGAGCCAGCTGAAGAACCACCTCTTGAGGAGGAACCAGAGGAGGAGGTCGAAACAGGCGGGCGTCGCAGGAGAGGGGCTGCAAAAATGTAAGTTAGATGAGCTGCAACGTTGTTGTTCTTTTGGCTGCTCCCCTGGCTGCAGGGCCTGCCACAGTGGAGGAACTCGCCTGAAGGACTCGTCGGTTGCCTCATGCTCTCCTTGATGCAACCTGGGATTGAACCTGTGTAGTTAGGATTCCAAGACTGTGACACTGATCACTGAGCTACAGAACCTACAGATCTGCAACTTCAATTATATTTACTGCTTCTGTTGGTCGTGTGCATTCACTACTGAACTACAAATGAAAAGATGATCAGTTTTGGTAGAACCTACACAAAAAGTATACGTATGTCGTATATGTATATAAAAAAAACAACAACACATGTTTTTAACAGCTGCATTGTTTAAATGAGAATCTAGCTTCACTTGTAAAAAAAATAATGCTGTCAAATGATTAATATTTTTAATCTGATTAAACCCAACATTACGGAGCCTGCGAGGGGACACGGGGGGATTTTTTTCTTTTGCGTTACCTCGCAATACTTTTGCGTTACCTCGCAATACTTTTGCATTCCCTCACAGTACTTTTGCGTTACCTTACAGTACTTTTGCATTACCTCACAATACTTTTACATTACCTTGCAATACTTTTGCATTACCTCGCAATACTTTTGCGTTCCCTCGCAATACTTTTGCATTCCCTCACAGTACTTTT